AGTCTGATCCAAGCTGGTTTCTTATGTCTTACCTCAACTATAGCATTCCTGACCCTCTGCATTTGTTCATGATTTCTCTAAACCACCTTCCCCATTTCTCTTCATCCCATGCATTGGCATCTTCATTTCTGTCATCCATCCATCCACCTCTCCACAAATATTCAATGAGCACCTACTCCGTGACAATCACTGTGCTTTTGAAGGAGCTGCAATCTATCAGTCAGGGTAGACCCCCCTATGACAATTGTAATCAGTGTGCTTTGTATCAACTACTATGAAGGCATCGAGAAGAGAATCAAGCACTGCATGAATCAGGAAAGGCTGAACTCAGGAGGTAAGGTTTGATCTAGGTTTTGAAGATGAAAAGTTCAAAGATATAAATGAGAAAGGTATTCCAGGCAAAGGAAATAGCACCTGCTAAATTACATCTAGCTTATTTTTCCATTCTTAGAATCTATAGTTTGTACTTATAGCATGGTCCTCACAATTTTAGTACTTATGGTGTAAAATGTATCATTTATAACCACATTACATGTCTCAGACTACAAACGTCTTGATAGGCCAGTTCATAAACTTCATGTGTATTCTCCTTAAACCTTAAACATGGTAAGGACCTGAGCACATGGTAAGGACCCAAAGATATTGATATATTAATCTGATAATCTATCAACATTTATGTATTTAGTTTGTTTTCTATGTGCTCCAATATTTATAGATACTAAATTTTGGGCTTCACATAATTTTCACATGTAACAAATTATTGTTTTAAAAAAATTTTTAAAGACTTTATTTATTTTATGTCTTTATTAAATTTTTTTTTTTTGAGAGAGAGAGGCAGGGAGAGAGATAGAAACATCTGTGAGAGAGAGAAACAGTGATTGGCTGCCTCCTGCACGCCCCCTACAGGGGATCAAGCCCACAACCCGGGCATGTGCCCTGACTGGGAATCGAACCGAGACCTCTCAGTTCACTCAGTCCACTGAGCCACACTGGCCAGAGGAGACTTTAGCAGTTTAGCTTTACAGCAAAATTGAGGAAAAGGTACAGAAATTTTCCATTCACTGCCCCTACACACGCATAGCCTCCCCCCATTACTGATTATCTCCCATCAGAGTGGTACATTTGTTACAATTTATGCACCCACCCTGACAATCATAATTGCCCAAGTCCATCGTTTACGTTAGGGTTCACTCTTGGTGCTGTATACTCTATGAGCTCGGAAAAAGATATAATGATACTAATCTATCATTATGGTTACTATGCAGAGTATTTTTCACTGCTCAAAAAATCTTCTGTGCTCTGTGTTCAATTCCTTTCCCCCCAGTCCCACCCCCTTAGTTTTTGTGTATAAGGAAAGGAAACTAATATTTATTGACCATTAGCAATGCATGCCAGGCTCTGTGTTAAAAGCTTTACCTGTGTTCCTTTACTTAGGGAGCTTAATCGAGCTCTGGGCTGTTGTGGAAGATGAAGGCATTAGGAAAAGGGAGACTAACAGAGACTTGGATTTATTAAAGCAGGAATGATTGAAGAGGTTCTTCTGATAGAATCTGATCACTCACTACGTACTGAGGGGGCTGGAGAGGAAAGACACATTTTGCTCCTGAGGCCTGTCTTTTCCTGGGCTCCTCTTTTTTCATGGTACATATCCCACTGGGCAGTCATAATGTCTGTACTTGATTGACTGTACTGTGCTGGGAACTTTATCTTAAAAGGGGCAGTGAGTGACAGTGGAAAGAGCATGAGCTTTAGAGTACAGGGAAACTTCCCCACCTGGTTCTGCTTGTCACGAGCTATGTGACCTTGGGCAAGTTTCTTAAACTCTGGAAGCCTTATTTTCTTTATCTGTAAAATACGTAAAAACTACTTCATAAGACTATATGATATTAGATGCAAGACACCTAGCATACATCAGTGTTCAATAAGCTGTCCTCTTCCCCTTCTGATGTACGCCTATTGGACCAGAGGACTTTGAAAGCACTAGACATGACCAATTAAAAAAAATGCTTTTCTTTAGCAACATCCTATATTACAGAAATGTCGTTTCCTCAAATGTTAACTCGTGCTGATGTCACAGTGCTCGTTGTTTAACGTATTCCTGGAAGAGTAACATTGTTTATAGACATTCCGGTTTGCAAATTTAAAGAACAAATCCAGAAGAGAAATTGCCACACAATTTGTAAAATTCAGAACTCCCTTGTTTCTATTCTTTTGCATAAGTCATGAAGACCACTTTTTCTTCAGTGCACCAAATAAGACATTTTGTATAGACGGAAATTAATTTATTCTCTTTCTCGGTTTCAGTAAGAAACACATTTGTTATACATTCAACAAGGTCGTATTCACTTTTTCCAGCTGAGAAATATTTAAGGGATCTCATTATATTTGGGAAATTTTTCATCAATCAGAGATTTAGCAGCCACCAAAAAAAGACCTCCACAATTAATCTTTTATAACATGAGTGTGACTTGTAATCTCTACACTAAAAAAAAAGACGAAATATAAGGAAAAGCTATTCAGAAGCTATAATATTTCTTGGCAAAGAAAAATGGCTTTATGATTTTTAAGATATGTTCGATAATTTAAGTGAAACTTACATGTTTGAAATTAGTAGCAGATGCAACACCATTCAAGCTCGATTCACTGGCTGCATTGCATTCGGTGGGATTTAGTAAAAGGTATTTAATAATTCTGTGTTTCATTGGAATCTCACAAATACAAGTATTTCATTCACAAAATGCATGGTTTGGCAGGTTTCCAGGGCAAGAGTTTGCTGGAGGGAAGGTAAATTTATTGATTAAAATAAATCAAATGACGAACAGTTCCTCCAGAAAACTGGCAAAACAAGCATATTCAGAGAGTGCAAGTCTCACAACCAGAGCCAGAAGCAAGTCTGAGCTAAATAGGAATTTATTTAGGAATCCAATTATAGGAATTATAGGAATCCAATAATGCCATAGAGTAAACAGATATTTGAGAATTCTCCAGTTAACAGAGAAAAAATTTAAATACCTAGTTTGGAGTAGGACTTATCAAAAAACCTTGATGTGAAATCTGGTGTTTGTAGGTCTTTGGAGTACTTATAATTACATCCCCCTCTATTTTTCACATTTGTATGTACTAAAAACCCAGTGTTCTCTGATGGAATTTATGTGGAAACCATCTAGATAGTTCTTAAATGGGCCAACATTACTTCCTTCCTACTCCATTTCTCAGTTCCTCCCTCTCTGCACTCTTTCCCCATTCTGGCCACACTTCCACCATAAGCACTTTTATGGACTGAATGTTTGTGTACCAATTAAGTTCATATGTTGAAACCCTAACCCCCAATGCGGCTGTATCTGGAGATGGGGACTAGAAGGAATTAATCAAGGTTACTTAAGGTCTTAAGGGTGGGGCACTGATAGGATTGGTCTCCTCCATATGAGAAGAGACAGGAGGCAGGAGATAGCCCTGGAGTGTTCTCTTTCTACCACCCTCGCCCCCCTTCTCTCTTTCCAAATACACATGTACACAGAAGAGATCATGTAAGCACACAGCAAGATGGCTGCTGCCACACAAGCCAAGAGACAGGATTCAGAAGGAAACCCACTTTACTGGCATCTGGATCGCGGACTTCCCAACCTTCAGAACCGTGAGAAATAAACTTCTGCTGCTTAAGCTGCCCAGTCTGTGCCCCAGTCGACTTGTACAGCAGTTGAGAGACCCAATGCCACAGCTACAACTGCCCGTTCATGCACATCCTTTCTTTGGATGCTTAACTCTAAGGTTTTGGATTCAGGGAAAACTCCATTGAGAATCTGGACACATTTAGCCAGGATAGTTTCATACAGCTCCTTAGATAGCTCTGCTCTGCTTCTATTCTAGAATCAGAGAATGTGAGCATGTTTTCAAAAGGTCCTTAGCCACCCTAGCTTGTCAATTCAGGTGTCACTGATTCTGGGGTTATAGAAAACTACTCCGTCACCCTGGCACATCTTCTCGAAGACCCTGGGGGTGACGCAGTGTCTTAGTTAAGTACTGAGCTTAAAGATCTGTTTATACTAAATCGTGACATATAGAGGGCCATGCTACATTTTTATACATTTTTAGAATGCTTCAAAGAAAGGCATTATTGATAATAACAAATACCTAAGACAGAATTACTGTAGGTCAGGTAATAAGTTAAGGGCTTTATGAGTATTTTCTTATAGAAACGTTACACTAGAAAATAGGGAATATTCTTAGTGGTCTTCTTGTTATTACAGAACTCTGTTTCAGAAAATAGAAGTCCTGCCAAAACAACGCCCCCCCCCTGCCATCACGATCACATTGCTGTTTCCTCTTCTTCACAGCGCTTTTTTCCTTGGTGGTTTTCCCTTGCTCCTTTCTAAGCTCCCCCAGCCCCTCCTCGGGGCCTAGAACAGTGGCTGCCAAGGAAAAGCAGTTCAATACGCTTCCGGCCAAGACCACCTGCCGGCTGGTGACGCAGCCTGCACAAAACCAGATGGTAAGCCCCACGAGGGCAGGGTCGGGCCGTTTATCCTCAGCAGGGCCTGGAAGGAAGCCTGCTCAGTAAAGATGTGCACAAGGAAAAACACGAAGGGAGGGCACAAAAAGGATTTACGAATAGAAATGTTCCCAGAAGGGCCCAGAGAGCGTCTGCAGCGATTCTCTGTCCTTGTGGAACGAGCTTGGGTCAGGGTCTAGGCCAGCACCGGCGCGGGGCAGGGCCTGGAGGAGCAACGAGGTCTGGAGAAACGATCAGAAGAAAGAGGGAAAACGGTGAGAAGAGAAGTGGAAAGTAACCAACACCTCTGTTCTGTGGCTTTAACCGCGGAGTTGGGCGCGGCCAGTTGCCATGGCGACCGCCAGGCCAGAACGGCCTCAGCCTATTGGCTAGGATGTCAGAGCCAATGAGAAGGCGCGATGTTTGCGGAGTCTTAAGATGGCTGCCGGGCGGCTGGCTCCTCACCGGTGAGTAGAGCTGTTTGCGGAGCGGCTCCCGGGCGGCTCGGGCTCCGGCGCGAGGGGTCGGGGACGGCCCGGTTCGGGGAGTGAGGGAGCCAGTGTGCGCGGCGTCACAGCCTGTCCACCGAGCCGCCCCGGGCCCACGGGAGCGTCGCCGGGGCCGGCCTCCGATTTGCTCGGAAGGGGCGTCGCAGCGCCTTCCCCAGCCTGGTGGTTGGACAGGGCTTCTCCGTCCCCCTCCGGCCCAAGTGAGAGGGGCGAGGAGGCTTCCGAGGCGGGACACAGGCTCCGGTTCACAGTGCTGTGTCCCGGGGGAGAGCTGCGGTGAGGGGGACTGTCAGCAGGCTGGACGTGTGCCCCGGAACCTTCGGCGCCAGTGCTGTGCGCGGGACGGCAGTCGCGTTCGCGGACCGGAGACGGACGCCGGCCCCAGAGAGCCCGCGGAGTTCCGGGTTGTGCGGCCAAGCAGGAAACGGTGGACCTTGCAGAGCCCCCCTCCTGCTGCCTCGAGCCCCGTGAGTATTGTCACACTGCCATCCGGCTGAAAGTGAGCCCCGACGTGTTACTGGCGAACTGTAACTTTTTGGGGTGTAAGGAAGTGTTTTTCATTGGCTGCACCAAACAGACTCTGTTTAAGTAAAACATACACATGCACGGAGACTCCTGCTAAGTACATACGTAGTTTATCTGGGTGATCGGATGGGTAACAGATCCGAAGGCGGCCCTGTGATTCACTTGTATTGTCTACTTTTTCGAGAAGAGGGAACACGTTTATTTCATGAAAGTAAATATATTTGCATTAATGTTGATGACACATGTTTAAAAGTATTTTCGTTAAGTAACTTATTCCAAGTCACAGACACTGGTTATCATTGTAAATTACTAACACCCTCTTCAGATTGGTGAGTGGTGGTTTATAAGGTTAAATTCATACCAGACAAGGTTCAGATTCCTGTGATTATTTCTAATTGAATATAAAATATGGGAAACAAGATAGCGTCATTTGGTGAAAATGGAATCGAAGTTCTGGAATATCAGACAGGAGACATTTACTCAATAAACTGCTCAGATTATATCGTTGGGGTTTTGGTTATAATCGCCCCCAAATATGACAGTATTACCTGAATGTGACTTTGATATAGGCAGTTTAGTGTAGCATCCTACGTATCTTTCTGCACTTAAAACAGTGACAAAGAAGCTTTCTTGATCAAATTTTAGCAAATCTAGGCTTATGGGCTAGAGTCATTATTCAGATACACTTTCTGTCTCCAAGAATATGTTGGTATTTAAACTCTGTCCTCTAAAAATTTATAATTTGAAGCCAATAGAGTTCCATTTTTGTAATATAAGTGAATCACGGTGCATTACACAAGTCAGTTACCTTATTTGTAAAAGGTAGTAATTCCTAGTGAAAGAATGGTTGTGAGATTAATGGTACATCGGTACCTGTCACATTGTATACTATGTATAGCAGTGACCTACTTTGTTTCCCTTTTCTGGTTCTGTTTCTTCTGTCATAATGGGTTTTCTTCCCTTTCTCCAGAGTATCTTTGAGATGTCCTGTGTGAAGTGCAGAGTCTAACTGAAAACTATCAGTCTTGGCTGTGGCAGATAGGTTGAGGAGAGAACCTTATCTCCTGGGGTATTGGGGTTTAATCACTATTGTATCTCACTGGGAGAGAATGGAGTGTTATAGCAAGAATGAGGTGACTGAGTATGTGGCCACTTGTAATATTAAGATCCACAAAGAAACATGTTAAAGCTACAAGACATCTCACAGATCACCTGATCATATCTTCATTTTATAACTTAAGAGTGGAGATCCAGGCAAAATGCAGTGTCTTGCCCACAGTTGTGTTGCTCAGAACTAGAAACCTGTCTTTGATTTTCAAAAGCAAGTCTTTTCCTGCTGTACTAGCTGTTCCCAATTCTTTCACAACCTAAAACCCCTTTTATTATAATTTGATACCTACATGGGTGCCATATTTTGAAAGGTGGTGTCTACTACACATATTCATTAGTTTTTTTGTTTTTGTTTTTTAAATAAAAATCAGGTCTATAGCTATAGCTACTGATCAGTGAATATGTGGTGAAGAATAAAGCTTCATTGAATTTAAGTCTCCTCATCGAAAGGTGGATAATATTGTTTGAGGGGGAAAAATATGTCAGGTTTTTAAATATTGAACTTAGCTTAGAGACCTCCATTAATGTCTTCATACAACTTTGTAAAACCCTTAGATTAGGAATTGCTGACCTGTGTCATGTTCTTCTTGATGCATTTCAGTGTGCCCAAGTGTGCTAAGTAAATAGTGACTATGGTAGGTTTTTAAGAGCAAAAGAAAACCCAGCTATTCAGACTAGAATATGATACAAAAATATTTTCAGTTCATAGTAAATTGTGTCATCCCAGGACTAAAGATGTATTCTGTGTTGTATACACAGAATTTTTTAAAAGAATAATTGTCGGAAAAAACTTAACTTCAGAAATAGAGAGTGTATGAAATGAAGAAGCTGATACTCAAAACCATAGAGTAAAAAAGGGATTCTGAATCACATCTTTTGGGGGACAAAAATGATTAAATTAAAAATTATTTGAATTACAGGCTAAAATCTGAAAGGTCACGTATTAATACATGGACTGTTGTGTAGACCTGGCTAGAATCTACACTAAAAACTTAGGTTTCTAGTTCTCTTGTGTACCACTTCTCTTGGGAATGGCTGAATAATTTTCACATTTAAAGGTTAATTTGGAATGATCTGCTTTAAAATAAAGGAATGTGCTCTGAAAAAGTGAGAGACACTCCAAAGAAAGAGTGAATCAGAATAGCCAAAACAAGTCACATGAGGCCTAACAGTATAATCGGAAAAGAATGAAAGACATGTATATGCTACGAATAGGAAGACTGTTTCAGCATGAGCCCACAGCATGTCAGGAAGCAGCCACTCCATGTTGGCTGCTTTACAGTCAAGCTTCTGCTCATGTGGACTGCTCCACTTTGCAGCTCTTCAATGAGTTATCTGTGTTTATCAGTGGCCACTTGTATTTAGGTTGTGCTTGTATTTAGGTGTTTTTTTAAGTTACAGGAGAATGGCACATTAAAGATGTTTAGGAATTGAGTTCTGAAACATATCTTATTTGAATTTTGCCTTATTTCATGGATTTGGATGTAGAATCCACTTTTTAAAAGTTATTTTAATGTTTTCTTTCCTGTGGGCACACGAAATCATACCAGCCAATGCCACACTGAAAACCATTCTTAATGCCCTATCAGCAAGAGCTAAAAACAGATGATTTTGGGAAAGTCCAAAAAGCGATAAAAAATAGGTAACTGCTAGAGCCTGATGAGGAAGGGCATGGCATCTCCAGGGTAACTGAGAAGTACATTTGGGTGCCCAAAGCATAGTCTTCCCAGTAGAGCTGCTAAAGTGGAAGAACTGGGCCTGCTGAGAGTCATGTGCCTTTCACGAGCAGTTAGAACTGAAGTCTGGGCTGAGTGGTACTTGGCTGATGGTGGACAGACAGAAGCTTGCCACGTGTGTAGAATGTCTGCTCCATGAAGTTAGGCGTTTTTGCCTGTTTTGTACACAGCTGTCCCATGTCTTGACGAGTGCTTGGCAAACAGTGGGCATACGGAAGATGCTGTGGACAGGAAAAAGAAACAGTGGTTTCGAGCATAGAAGAACCCCAATTTGGAGAAAGCTGAATTTGAAATTTGTTACTAAAATCCTGAAATGGATAATGAACCTAAAGGTACATTATAAGCCAGTATTCAAGTCATGCTGGAGCTTATTATTGCTTCCCTCTCCATGCTTTTCAGAACAATAGAAATATTTTTAATAATATCTGCTTTTTATTATTGGCATATTTTACATGATGTCCTTTGTGCCAATAGAGTATCTTAAGATGACCTTCATTCTAACTCTTAAAATCCTTAGGCCTGGTTTAGGGATGCAGCCAGGTTTTATGGGGCCTGGAGCCTATATAATTTTGGGTCTCTTCTTTTAAAAAAAAAAAAAAAAAAAGGGAAGTCATACTCTAAATAGAAAATTAGGTATAGTGTTTTGTGCAAATGAGCCTTGAAGCTTAAGCTCCATTATCTTCATGGTAATTTGCTTCTGGTTTTATTGCCCCATTCAGAAAACCACACACCAACATGTTTTATAGAAGCGTTGTCAGCCTGTGGAAATCAGGAAAGTAAATGTTTTGTATCAGTTGTTAAGTGAATGCACTTCAAATGTTAGAAACCTTAAAACTACCTTATAAATGCCGCTACTCATAATAGAAATAATCAAAATGTACTACATAGCCACAGAAATAATAATAGCAAAAAGAATTTAGCATTGATCGAACCTCTAGAATCTCCTAAACACTGTGTTGAGTGTTTTATCTCATTTAATCCTCAGAATAACCCTGTATGCAGTATAATTATCCCTGTGTTACAGATGAAAAAACTGAAGTATTAAAAATTATTTCCACATATTACTAGTATATGGTAGTGACAGGATTACAGTTGCAGTTAGATGTCAGAGCCCTTCTTAAAAAGCCAAGAGAATATTTTAGTGAGGATGTTTCAGAGAGCTAACAACTGATGAGTCTGGACCAAAGTGGCAGAAAGTAAAATCTCATTCTTTGGACTTAGGAGGAGGTCCTTAAAGTTATTGGGAATTCTTTATTTAGAGTTATGGAAAAGACCATGATGTCTGTGTCTCAGAGATAATGGTGGTGGTTTTGTTACTAGGTTACTCACAATAGTGGAACGAAAACTCAGCAAAAATGTTTTCTATTCTTCCATTTTATTCCTTCAGGTTGATAGTAAGTCATGAACAGTACAACCAACTTCTCTGTTTTAGGCACCTTTTAAGCAAACTGGTTTTGGCTCAGTATGTATGCTAAGATAGACTGTGCCATGGAGATTAATAGTGAAAATGTACTCAGTTATCTTAATTTGAACAAATTGATTGCGACTCCAATTTAAAAATAATAATTTTATTAAACTTAACAATAGCTAATGGTTCTCTCTACCAGTGGACAGTATTATTCTAATGCTAAATATTATTCTGAACTTGAACATTAGTTTCCCAACTATAGTATTGTTATTCAAAAAAGCTATATGTTTTTGTTAAAATGTTAGGGTTATACTCCATTTAATATTATTTTAGCAAATAGTATAAAATTTTAAACTAGGATATTCTTTTACCATCACAGTTTCCTCAAGGTAATTGTACATGCAGCTTAACAATTTTTTTTTTTGAATAATTGTTTTCCTGCTCCTTAGTAAGTCCCCTGGACATTTTATACATTTAAATACAGGTGGAACATTTAATTTTGTTTTCTTCTGTCTGTTATAGCTTGAAATATAGTATTATAGTCCTTAAATTGCCTGCAGTATATATTGTTAGGCTCTTAACATTATTGAGCAATGGATGCTTTTACTGGATTTTCTTTATTTCTTTTTTTAGGCAAAATTATGCATATACTAGAGAATCAAGGTCCTATTTTCTTTAGGTCATTCATCTATAGCTGTGTCTTGCACTTGCTAAACTGCTTTACACATTTTATTTATACAAGCAGTTTTTAATTTTTTTAATTTGGAGTGCATATCCCATTATAGATTTTTTAAAAGTTTAGATGGACTGTTCCCAAATCTTAGGTATAATTATTAAGACTCCTGGATTGTCATTTAATGGTTTTAAAATTCTTTGCATGTCTACTTTAAATAGCTTTAAATTTATTCTTTTCCTTTTAGAAGAAAAGATGTGGAGTGGGCTGCTACCTTCTGGCCTAAATGAAAGTGATGTTGAGTTGAACTCTGAAGATGAAGACACATCAGAGAACTCTGGACTTAACTTACAGGAAGATAAAGGAGATGGGACCTTTACAAAAACAGAGATCTCAGATTTCCCTACAGATGGACCAAAAACTGAAGCAGAGGCAAATGTAAATGCATACGAAGACTGTCCCTCTGGAATTCCCTTACATATGTGGAATGTAGGTTTTCTCCGATGTGTTCTTATTAAAGCCTGTGTTCGTACATGCTCATGTGTGTCTCTCTGCCATAGTCAGAATGTGTATGTTCTTGGGAGGTAATAGATAGGAAAGATTCATTCAGAATTCTTTTTTTTTTTTTTTTTCAGTTAATCCTCACCTGTGGATATTTTCCCATTGATCTTTAGATAGAGTGGAAAAGAGAGAGAGAGACATATTTATTGGTTGTCTCCTGCATGACCCCAACTGGGGCTGGGGATCAAACCTGCAACCCAGGTATGTGCCCTTGATTGGGAATCAAACCCACAAGGGCCGACGTTCTAACCACTGAGCAAAACCAGCCAGGGCCAGAATTCTTTTATTACCCTGTGGGTCTGTGTTCAATTCATTGGCCACTCAGATACTTGCTTCCATTTTTGTTTTGTTTTTCATAAAAAGAGGAAGAAAACATTTAGTAGAATTAGCTACTTTGCCTAACATGATATAGGAAGAATTTCAATCTTAATTTAATTTAATTTATTTTTTTATCCTCACCCGAGCACATTTTTTTTCCATTTTTTGTTCAGATAGAGTGGGAGGGAGAGGAAGAGAGAGAGAAACAATGACGTGAAAGAGACACATTGAGTGGCTGCCACCTGCACGACCAACCAGGGCCAGGGACAAACTGCAACCGAGGTACGTGCCCTTAGCGGGAACCGAACCCGGGTCTTTCTGGACCGCAGGTCGACGCTCTAACCGCTGAGCCAAACCGGCCAGGGCAATTTTATTTTTTGTCTAAGTCATTGACTTTTACTCTCAGATTATCAGACTGATTTATTTAGACATAAAGTGAGATGAAAACTCAGGTTGTGGAAGAGTCTTGGAGAGTAGAGTATCTCAAGAAGAGCTTTAATTTATATGTTTATAAACACTAGAGTATAATTTTTAATTATTTAACATGTTTGTTTTTTTTTTGAATTTTGCTTTGCTTTAAAATTGCTTTTAATTTTTTTGCTTTATATAGAAATTTCAAGAATTGCATAAAAAACACTCTGAACAGAAAATCTCAACTTCAGGATTTAGAAGGAAAAAAAGAAAACGCTCTAGAAAAGGTATTTTGTTTTCATTCATATTGATTGTCAAATGTGCTAATGTTAAACTGTGACTAATGGAGCTCATTAATTTTTAATGTAATTTTGAAATAACTAAATACTTAGCTCTTAACACTGTGAATTCTGTTTCAGGTAAATTGAAGAATGAAGCAGAATCTCATAGGTACGTGGAATTAAAAATATTTGTCTATTCTAGACATTATTTGTAGAATTTATACAAATAGTTGACCTACTTACCTCTGAAACATAAGAACTAGTTGTTGTAATATAATTGAGGTAAGCTGTTGAAAACAATGAAAATAAAAATAAGTACATTTAGTGCAAGACATATTGTCTGTCTTATAGTGAGCAGTCCCCAAGTGAAACCCAGTGGAAGGAACTTACTCAGTATTTTGGAGTCAATGACAGATTTGAACCCCCTGTTAAAAAGAAAAAAGTTGAAAAGGTAAGGTCTTTTTTATTGCATCTTATATTACTCAGTAGGAAATGTTTGTAATTAGCCTTGTCTAAGATAGTTCTCATTAATTCATTCAGTGAAAATGTTACAGTTCCTACTATGTGCCAAACAAGGTGCTAGATAAACAAGTAAATATATAGTTACAAATTATCAAAACAAACAAACTGTTAAGAAGGAAATGAATGGTGTTGTGAAGCAGTGCAAAACAAAAATGGAGACCCCACCTGAGCTTGTGGTCAGGGAAGACCTTTCTCAGAAGGTGCCACTTCACTGAAGAATAGGAAGGAACCATCTAAATCAGGAGTGCTAGTGTAGAGGTAATAACCTGGATAAAGATCCTAGGGAAGAAAGAGTCATTTGTCACGGGACATTTGAGTAACTGTAAGGAGGTCAGCCTGGCTGGAATGTAGTCATTAAGGAGCGTGGCTCAAGATAAGATTGGAGAGGCAGGCGGGCAGGGACCAAGCTGTGTAGGACCTCAAGGGGCACAGAAAGGAATTGAGTTTTAGTCACAGTGCAGCTGAGAGTCATTCAGGGGTTTTAAGTTAAAGGAGTGACATGATCTAAATTATGTTTAAAAAGATTGCAATTATGTGGAGAATGGACTGTGGGGCGGCATAAGTAGGTGAGAGACCATTTAAGAGACTGTTTTAGGCATGAAGTCATGTCAGCCTGAACAAGAATGCTGCTGCTGAAGATGGGGAAAAGGCAGGATTTGAAGTGTACAGTGGAAGTAGAATTGACAGTATTTGCCTCTGGATTGTTTGGATGGTAGTGGGGAGGATTTGGGGAGTGAGGAGGGAAGGAGCCATTCAAGGCTTTACCGTAAGCAGTGGTGTGAAGAGTGATGCTAGTCATGAAGGTGGAAAGCTTGGGAGGGGAGAAGATTGAGAGTGGGGCCTCTCCACAGTTCAGTTGGGGTGCGGGTGATATCAGGAAGCAGGAGCAAAGTAGACTGTTGATGAAATAAGGCAGGAACTCGGAGGAGAGTCTGGGCTTTAGAAACACGTTTGGGAGTTGTCATTCTATAGATGATATTACTGAGTAGAGGCTTGAATGAATGAGTAGCTTACATATTCACATAGAGCAGGGATGGGAACGTCCGGCCTGCAGGCCATATAAGCCTGCGAAATCAATGCCAACGAACATTGCATGCCTCACCAAATTAGCCTGACCAAATATAGCAGGCTAATCTTTAAGTTCATAACGTTGTGTGGCCCTCGAATGATGTTATAAATATCCAAATGGCCCTTGGCAGAAAAAAGCTTCCCCACTGCTGACATAGATGAATGATGACAGATTCCAGGAGCTCAAAAACCGACCACTGAGTGGTAGGGGTAGAGGCACAGTCCTGCCTGGTTGAGCCCAAGTACATTGTACCTTGCATGTGTAGACAGATGCCTCCTTCATGGGTCATTGCTGTAGACTACTGTGTATACATTGAGATGATTACTATTTTCTGTTAATCAGTATTTCTTAGAAAAACCTCTGATTTTCAACCCACCATTGGGTGGTAGTGTGTCATTGAGGGCATGTGAATTAAGGAACTAATACAATAGAATTTTACATGTGAACTTGTGATTCCAACTTCGTCAGGTATCCTTGTCATTTAGTCCCTAGTACACTGGGGAGTTGGAACCAGCGTAGCTTTCTGCCACAACTGTGTACTGGTACTCTGAGCAGTCTCTTTTTTACAAATGTTCAAGCAGGTACAGAATTTTCTTACAAAGAAAGATTACTGGTAGGGTTGAAACTAAAACCCAGCCTCTATCACACCATTACGCTCAGTTCTCCAGCTTCACTGCAGAGGGCTGGGAAGCAATTTAAAGTGTGATTGCCATGCACTCCACACTTGTGATTCCGGTGGGCTGGGGGGAGGGAGCACACGAGGGGGTGCTCTTGACTGTCCCAGACCTGTTCTGTAGCATCAGGGAGGAGGCGTGCTGACGGAAGTGGTCCAGGGCCGTCTCTGGCCTGCCTGCTTTACAGCCCCAACTTCTCACTAGATTGTTCTTTTGAGGGAAGAGATGGTTAAATGTTAGTTCTCATAGGACTTTTTTTTTTTTAAGTTTTGTGAATTAGGTGGTCTTTGATCTTCATTTATTTACAATATTTGTTATGTTTTCTCATAACTGTATTTATAGTGTCTGAATTATTTCTTAGTGAATTTAAAGCCATAAATTAAAATTTTTAACCATTGTAAAAAGTAGAAATTTTGAGAGTATTTTTTGTAATCTGTCTGTGTTAGAATTTTATTATTACCCTACATATATGAAATTGTACCTTCTTGATACTGGCTGTATGCGACTATTATTCATTGTCTAAAATTTGTAATTTGTGTAGAGTAACTTTGATAAAGGACACTAGGTGTCCTTGTGCAAAATCTTTGAGACAACTAAGTTTTAGGAACTAGGGTTCTGTTTTACATTATATATTAGATGAATTCTAGAAAAATTATAAGTCAAACATCATTTCAAAAATGAGATTTCTGTTTAAGGGAAGACTGCCATAGATTTTTTTTGTAATCACCCAGTGATCTATTTTATGTTTGGATTTTCTTAACGGTTGACATTCCTCTGTATGAATGACATCTGACTAAGAAAGCCATGGCAATCTTGTAAACCAGCACACTGATGCTGGCCAGTCTTATATCTGCCTAGGATTTGCCAACACTAAATATTCTATGAATAAATGCAAGCCTAACAGGAAAGGAAGGATTTAGTGAAGCCAAATTGTCTCTCTTGGTAGTTCAGCATAATCACGTGCCAGCAGGTTCACACTCATTCTTTGGTTTGGGATCACTGTTTTGCATGCACCCCTCTTGCTATAAATCCGACACAAGTAACAGACATTAAAGAATGTCCACAGCAGAGGCACCAAGATGAAAGCTAAGAATAAATGTAAGTCCAGCATGTGATAGTTACTGCCCAGGAAATCTAGAGAGGATCATGGAAAAACTAGCATAGATTTCTATTTCTAGTTCATTATTTTATTTCTCTGGAGCAGAGGCTGATCTGTTACTGTATCTGAGAGAGCCTTTTAGTCTGGATTCACTTGACCCTCAAGATTAGTAAAACAAAGCAAACTTCTTTTTGCATTTTTTTGCAAACTTCTTAATCCACCTATCCTGCAGTCCTGTTGTCTTTTCCTGGAACGCTGCCAAGCTACAACTGCTGCTCAGGCGAAGTGTGGGCACAGCACCAGTCTCCCCTCTGCCCTCCATGGAGCAGGGTCTTCCTAATATCCAGTGCCGTTTAAAGTGCCCTTTGTGTTACGTACAACTATAATTGTGTTGCTGGCAGCAGTTCTGGGACTTACTAATAATTCTGTAATCATTCATTTGAATCTATGTGGGAATTTCTTTAAAATAAATTTTTTACTCATTAATTTCATTATAAATGTCTCAAGTATTCTTTAGTTGAATCAATTTGATTAGCCAACAGTCTTTATTGAGATAGTTTTATGTATACTTGATGGATACTTTTTGGCATGAAAAACCACGGGTACTTTTAATTTTTAGAATAGTTGCACAATGTCTTTGATGGTTTTCTTTAGTTGTTTATGAGAGGAAACTGCTATTGTATGGTGTAGCTTTTTTCAAATTTATTTCTGTTAGTAGAATGCTTTTTCCAACCAGAATCTTACATTAAACTTCAATACATAGATCAGATAAAAATCTGAGTGCCTTGGGTGGGTAGGCAGGAGGGCAGGGTGGGGGTGTGGAAGTGGGGGGGGTTGTAGTGGTACCATGATTGTTCCCCTGGTGTCAATTACAAAGCGTTCTCTCTTGATCCCTGTGATCCCTTTGGGTGGGTAGGTAGGACCAGTATTATTCTTCGAATATAGGTGAAGAAACCGAAGCCCAGCATGATTTGTCTAAGAAAACAAACAGAACGGATAAGACATGAAATGAGACTAACCCAAATCATTTAGTCACAAATACAGTTTTTTCTGAAGTAAAACCCAACTTAGTTTTTACTTTTCTGACTCAGATAGTTTAAGTGGATAGGCTCTAAATACAAAAGTTACAACACTAATTATTAGCCCCGTCCCCCTTTCTTTATGGAGAGATTACCTATGTTTTTCTCCTTAGCTATTTAGGTCTTATCATAGTACAGCAAACGTGAGTGGATAATTCATTTGTATTAAGCTTTAAAAATTGAATATATTTTTAAATATGTAATAAAAATTATATATTTTTATTCAAATAAATATTTAGCAGCAGAATTTCTGTAGAACTATATTGTGGTGCAGTTTGACTTAAGCTTTAATCACGTACTGAAAGATATTCTACATATGCACATATGGGTGGTTGATCCTTAATGTTAAACCCGGTGTTAAACCCATGAGTTTTATGGATATTTTTGTAGTACTACCTTCTTGGCAACTGCAGCTAAACTTAATTAGAGGTTACTTCCTGCCTCATGGGAACCTCTTAGATGCTGGCCTTAGATGATTTTCCACCTGTGGCCAAATTGCCATCCCTATGTGTTTGTATTAAGATATATCTTAAGCTGAATTCTGATTCCTGCCAAAAGGCATCTTAAAAGCACACCAAGGCCCAGGCCCTGCAGAGTATGCCGGTGCTTCTGTGCCTCCTGCCTTTCCTGTGGTGTGAAAGACATCCTAGGAACTTACAGCTTACTCTTAGGTCCAACTTAAAACTTAAAAAGACTTAATACTCGAATCTTATTTCATGAGACTACTTGTTGACTCAAACTTGAATTCTTGAGTCTTGTACCCTGAAAGAATTGTGATTAGGTCTGTAGCTATGTAGAGCTAAGCCTTCTCTTTGTTGTAATGGTGTCCTCATTTTTAGATATAATGATATGAACAACTTATTTCCTGAATGATTACTATATTTAAAAACTTTGCTAGGTATTTTACACGTATTTTCTTTGACCCTTATTATAACCTTGCAAAGAATGTGGTATTCTCATTTTATATATGAGATAATTATAAGCTGTAGAGGTTTAGGAGCTCATCCAGGTTGCTAGAGGAACTGGACCATGAACCCAGCTCTGACCTCACCAACCATGCTATTAACTTACAGTGTCAAGGCGATGGAAGTGTTTTATCTAAGGATGATTTTGTACTAATGTAAGCCTTTGGAATGTTAATATCATCTCAGAAGGAGAAAGATTGGTTGTGCACATGAACCCAGACATTTTTCAGAGCTAAAAGGAACTATTATATTTACTTAAATAAGTTGCCAGAAAAGAATGAAAAATGAGGGGAAAAAAGGTTATATCTAATGAAACTTTGCTGAAATTAAAAAATAAAAACACTTTTAAAAGACCTAAAAACAAACTTGAATATATAAGTGGAATTCTAGGATTTTATTTCCAGGAGAGAATTTTGGTTGTCCAAACCAATATTCTTGCTTTCTTTAAGGAAACTGACACTTATGCATTAAGTACTGTATCTCATTTACCCAGAGCTTTGACCACATTTCCTAACTCCTAGTCCAATGTTTTTCTACCATATTATGCCATCTCCCTTAGATGCTGCTCTGAATGGCTGGGGAGTGGGAGTTGATTGATGGTGAAGAGACAAATTTATAATTTTAGATGATTTATAAATGAAAATTATATGTATAAGCTCAGCAGTTCATATAAGTTTCTAAAAGAGGAGAATGTTCTTGTTTTCCCCTTTGTGATATTAACTTGTAAGCTGTGTACCCATCCAGGATAGCCAAAGGAAAGTTAGCAAGTTGACTTAATAAACAGACCACTGGTTTATTCATGGGCAGTGGTGGTAAAAATAGGGTGGGTTTCTTTTTGCTCACTACCTGTGATCATTCCAGGTTCTGGAGTAAGGATGCAGCACCCAGATGTTACGTACCCTCAGGCAGCCTGGAGAATTGGAGGCACACAGACAGAGCCGCCATGTGGAATAAGCAGGACAGGCTCAGAATGGTTGCTGTCAGTGACCAGCTTGCTGAGGCGAAAGACTGGAGATTAGATCTGGGATGAGGCATCTGGCTACCCCAGAAATTGTTGATGCAAGGAAAATTGCAGTTTGATACTAGTGTTTTGTTTTCCCATATCTCAAATGAGGAGATACCTAATATTCTATGCAAGAAGGAGGGGCCATTGTTGTAGCATTTCTTAAATGCTTTATTTCTGCTATAAAAGTAAATAATAATTGTAATGTCCCAGGTACAGGTACTGTGCTGTGCTAAGTTCTGGGAGGAGCCCACGATGGAGAAGATATTCTCCATGCCCTCATGGAATGTATAGTCTAGTGTGGGGAGATTTACTTATAAATAAGTGCAATAAAATGTAATTTTTTTTTTTTTTAACCATAGGGCTACTATTACCCTAATATTACTGTGTGGAATTCTCCTGGGAACATGTGAAAGCAGTGGATTTGTATGAATGTTTCCCATTTGGGTGGGGTTCTTTAGAACTAATGCAACCATGGATTGCTGCGCAGTAACGCAGGCTGAGTGAGTCTCCTGTGTGAGAGAAACTGGGCTAGATGCTGAGACACACCAAGCTAGTAACACGTGTTGCCCTTAGTGAGCATAGAGCCCAGGAGGGGAACAGACCAGCCGGTGCTGGAGGGAGACGTGGAGTATAGCGACAGCACAGAGTGGGAGCAGTTAGGTACCAGGCGGGGTCACTGGGTACATGGAGATAAGGGCACATGCATAGATAGAGAAGGTAACATTTAACACGAGACTTAAACAAGGATGATCAAGATTTTTTAAACGGAAACACATCAGAGGCACAGGGCATGTTAAGAGAATGGTAGATGTGACCAGAGATTAGAAAATACAGCATTGCCCAAGTTGAGGCTGAGCAAGCATTTTGGAACCCTATTGCGAAGGGAGTTGGGCGCTATTCAAAAGGAGTAAGGAAGTGATACTGTTTTAAGCTGGGTAATGACATGGTATTTGCTTTAGAAAGATAGAAGACTAATTTGGAGACAGTTATAATCTTTCAAAAGAGATCATGAAGCCCTGAAGCACAGGATGGAGAAATGAGAGTCACTACAAAAATAGAGTTAAATGAAGAGCACAGGATTGGAGGCATTGAAGCTAACTGAGGATTTTACCAAGGGCGACCATATGGGTAGGCAGCTCTAAAGGAGAAGCAGGGCGGGAGTGAGGAGCTTGGTTTTAGACATAATAAAATTGAAGACCCTGCCTTCAATATGAAGATAATTAGCAAGTAGCTGGAGCTGTTGATCTTGAGAGGTTAGATGTCTTAAATTATGTTGAGATCCAAAGCAGCTTATAAGAATCAATTGAAGCCCTAGGATTGAGTTACTGGGCAAATGAAGAGTAAGAAGAAGAGGGGGCCAATCACAGAACCTGCAGGACTTCTGTAATTAAGGGGCAGCAAGAGGAGATAAGGGCCTTCAAAGGAGATTGAAGATAGATATTTGGGAAAATAGTTTTAAGAATGAGGATTAGTTAATATAAAAGACAATCAAGTAGAAGGATGACAGATGGTGTCACCTATGACTATAGAAGGTTAGAGTTAGAATGAGATAACATGGGGCAACTGATACAGTGTTTTAGAGGGGAGAGAGGAAGTACTAACATAAGAAATCAGTTTGAGGCAAGGGTCTGAGTCATCCCATCTAGCCCATGCATAGTTATTACAGTATTAGTGACTGTAATCCTTATGCTGTACTTTACATCCCCATGACTGTTTTTATAACTGGCACTTTTGTACTCAATCCCTTCACCTTTGCACCTAGTCCCCTGTGGTGACCATCAGTTTTTTCTCTGTATCTATGAGTTATTTCAGTTTTGTGTGTGGGGATATTTTTAAAGTCTCATTTCAATGAAGGCTACACAGGAACAACATTTCACTTGGATGATGGCTGTAAACAAGCAGTACACAAATGGAAGACGCATTCGCAGGACTTCTTTTATTAGATGGGGCGGGGGAGTTGGTTAACTGAAAGTGTGAATGATAAAGGGTACATTAGATAAGCCATTCTTAGGATAAAATTTTCTTGTAAGAAGCATATATTAGACCATTTAAAAATTTTTATTTTTTTGTAGTAGCTATTTCCACAAGCTAAAACTCAATTATTTAAGTCTAAGCATCTTTCCATAAATATATGATGAAGCCTACCTGTTTGGTAGTTCCACGAAAATTGTAATTAGGATTTCCTGAAATATCTTTAACTAGTAAATCAATTTCTATAGGAAGATAAAATCATTCTCATATATAACTTTCTTCACATGTTTGATATCCAGCTTAATACCCATAGTCAAAGAGTAGGAGGGGATGTTGAATGAAGGTCTCAAGCAACAGGAATGGGTGGTAGAGAAAAGAGGCAGAGGAAGACTGGTTGAGAGTACAGGGTCAGGGCAAACCCTGATTCTCACGATGACCTTGCCACTTACAGACACTGTGACCTTGGCCAAGTTAGTGAGCCAAAGCCTCTGTTTCTTCTCCTTCAAAACAGCATACCTGTTATTTCATAGGGTTTGTTACAGGATTTAATGAGCTTTCTTACAGTACTAAGCCCAGAGTCTGTCATAATAAGCATGCCATAATTTCTATTATAATTTAACATTGTTAGTAAGAGAAAGTATAGGCCTTAGAGTCACAAAAATATGGACTTGCATCTCTTTTTTTCTTAGTTTAAGAAGTGATATGACCTTGGATAGGCCTCTTAATGTCTCTGAGTTGCATTCTTGTCAGTAAATGGGAGTGATACCAACTGCCATATAGGGTCAACATGAGAATCAAGTGGTCTGAGTCTGTAATGTATTTGGTGGAGTCCTAAGACCTAGTCTTTGCTAGCAAGTGTGTATTTGCCTTTATTCCTGCCTTTAACTTTTAGGTTTTGTTTCTTTCTAGTCGGGCCTTGAAAAGAGTATAGACAAGGCTGTGGAAGAGTGGAATATCGAGAAGGCCGAGGAACTCAGCAACCGGCTAGCTACCCGAGAGGCAAGTCAAACTGATGACACACTTTCTTATTTTCAGATTTTCTAAAATGAATATACATTCTTTTTACAATCATAATTGAAATATTTATCTAAGATTTTCCTTTCAGTTTAAATTAAGTCTAAAACTTACGGTGGAAATAATCCGTGATTGCTGTTCACCCTTAGATTTTACCTAGTTCAGAGAGCTTTCTGCCTGTTAGGATGAAAAGGCTGGCGTTCTTTTTCTTTTTGCATCTTTAACTCGGTTTACCTGTCCCCGAGGGCATGTGTGTTGTAAGGTCACATCTCTTAATGTTTTTCTAACCCTTGCTCCCCAGAAGGCTTTTTAACATCATATTCTGCACCATTCCCTCAGCCCTGAAGAATTTTCAGTTTTCAAACAAACAAAAAAATACAAAAGATATTATATACATATATATATATATATATATATATATATATATATATATTTGTGTGTGTGTGTGTGTGTGTGTATGTGTGTAGTTTATGGTATAAAACTATTAGATATATTGAATATTCTTTTTCCAAGTACAAAGGCTTCTGGAAGATTCTGACTTGCACCTTCTGGAGGGAATATACCTCTGATTGGTAATCACTGCTAGGTGTCGCTAGGCAAGGTCACACAGAGAGTAAAGAGCTCATGTTGGCATATGTTTTGTTGTTGCTATTGTTGTATTGTAGTTTTTTCCTTTTTTGGTCCTTTCTAGGAAAAAAACTCTACTATAGCTTTCACTTTTAGCATATCTTTACCTTCTTCACGTTATTCTTAAGCTATGACTACGCCATGGTGTTTGATTACATGGAAAGCGTCGTCGGTCGTCTGTGTAAACTCTTGGCCATGCATGCTGTTTGCTGTTCTTTCTTACTCACCTGCAGGTGAGCATTTTTTCTGAGATTAGTGATGAAATGACTATTTTAATAAATTTTTCTATGGAAATACTGTTTTACTCCTACATTAGCAGATGTCAAACATCTTCCATGGATGGCTGTTTGTTTTCTGGTTTTGCTGCTGGCCATAAGTATCTTGTGAGGTTGATATTTTTATATAGGGGGAAAAACAAGTCCAGAAGTGAGGCTTAGGGATTCAGAAGTTAGCTTTCTTTCCTGAGGCTTAAATGATGCCCTGGGAGGAGACGGGGTCACCTGTGGCCTCATGTCAGGCAGCGGATGCACGTTAACTCCACTTAGTTTGCGTCACCGTGTTCCTCGCGAGCTCTCCTTTCTCTGCCCTTTGAAGCTGCTTGTGAGAATGTACAGACATGCGCCTGAGGCCTCAGAGATGTGTGCTTGGAGGGTATTCGGTTTCTGCTTTTGTGTGTTTATGTGTATGTCATACTGCTATTCTAGAAGTGGGAATTGTATAATACAGGCTAGGCATTTTCCATTTTAAAGGTTATTTTGTGTCACACTTTGACAAATGAGATTGCTGTGGAAATACATGTATTTTCAGCATTTGTAAGGATAGTAAACATTTTCTCAAGTGTTCTCTTTACCTCCATACAAATGTAATGCTTTGTTCTACTACAGTAAATTAAATTTATTTAGTGTGAGGTTAAAGAATTCTGATTAAAAGAGAAACAATAATTCGAGTCCTAGTCTTGTCTTTGTATAAGTGGAAAAACATCTGGAAAGTGTTTGCTGTTCAGATACAGACATTGGAAAGATACTGATGCCATGTTAATTAAGTACTCATGAAGAATAAAGTAATCAAGATGGATTTCTTAAATAAATAGTTTAGTTTGAGATTTAATTTTTCATATTTATCCCTTTGATGTCAAACACTGTGGAGATGAGAGATGGGATTTTGAGAAGTAGGTAATTGTGAGTTTGGGGCAGAAACCCTTTATAAATTAAATGTATACATGCGTGGTAGGTGTCCTTTTGGAAATCAGGTATGTTGGTTTTCTAATCAGTAGCATTTTCTTTTTTCAAGAAGCAGTGACTGGGACCAGCTGATAAAGCCTTTGCTCAGAGGCACAGATCCTAGAGTCCTTAAAGCCTTTTCTAACCACAATAAGTGAAACTAATTTTTGATGTTTAACATTTATAAGCCTGTGAATAGGGCAGAATCAGTATTGAGAAAAATGAAGCCAAAAGTAGAACCATGTTTGATGATGGGCCTTGAAACTAGTTCCTCAAAAATATGCCAAAATAAGACTGTCAGGGCCCTATTGTTGTGACACAGCAGGTGCACGATTTTCCAGATCACTTCTCTCAAGTTAATGGTGAGACTCTAAGGATGTATATGAACAAGTTCACATGTTTAAAGCCTAGATTGTGCTGTTATCTTTGGTTTTGCCAGGTAGTAATATGGTTGCTTTGGGACTCCCTACTTCTTTGTTGTTAATAATTTTGGAGGAGAGATGAAGTGAAAAATAAACTTGGGTTTGTATCATACTGATGAAACTGTTTAAAAAGTTGTTTTTTAAAAATATTATTTACACACACACACACACACACAAGTATTTGAGCATATTTGTGGCTTGTTAACCTCAGGCCTAAATTGGAATTACCTTCCGTTCATTGATAGTGAGCTTTTGCAAATGCCATTTTTAGGTACTTTTTATAATTTGCAAGGTATTAATAGACACATCTGAAATGTTTTAGTTGTAATCTGCTGCCATCTTTGCTAAAGCCACAAACCTTCAGTTTGGAGTAATGATATCAAATGTTTTATATTTTAAATCTTTTTGCTTGAGTTTATGAACGCAGGCCAAAGGTGATGACTTCTGCCTTCTGTGCTATTGGCATCATATTTTTAAAGAACATCAAGGTCCAACAAGTATAAATGATTTTAAAAATCCCTTTTTAATAGATATAAAAATATTACATTGGCCAGAATGAGTTAAACTAAGAATTTTAATTTTTATTACATTTATTAAATAGACTACTTAAATGTTTGGATTCCAAAACACAGGTAAAGTTAATAATGTTGAAATAATAATAGTTTGTTAATATTTAAATAACAAAGGTAGGAATGGCCATTTAAAAAAAAAGTTAGAATTGATTGAGTTATATTCTTTCCTAGCTAAACAAATTAAGAGCTATCTAAATTTGGGCAGGTTATTAATTTGTAGCATAAACTCTGTTTTTAGAGTAATTTCCTAGAAAATCTGAAGGCATTCTCATTGAAGAGGGCTATATGTACATTGAAGAGATAGTTTCTGCATTTTATATTTACATCTAAGAAGTGGTCCTTCATCAGAAATGCTTCAGGTGCCAGAGTGCTCACTCTACTCTAGCATTCAGAATTTTCCAATACAGTTTACAGTTAGGTGTTAGTTTCCCTGTGAGGATCTGAGGATCCTGACTACAATTCACCCTTATTATTTTGGTTATTAGTTTTATGTTGATACATATGCCATGTTGTCTTGATGGAATGAGAGTTGAATTACCCCCCCCCCCCACCAAAAAAAAATCTTTCCGAAATAATATAATTCTGGCAGGTTTAGCTATCAAAGTACCTGGAGCATTATCATATCTAGAGTTCAGAATTGAAACATTTGTTTAAATTTTTGGAATAGAGATTCTGCCAAACTTGGTGAGTTTAAAGTCACGCATCAGCGCTGTTTCAGAGCTCGAGCGTTTCAGGAAAGGCGTTTGCATCTCATGTGAAGGAGCTAAACTGAAGGACGTGTTACAGGAAGGAAATCTCGTGGTTCTAAACCCTTCATTCTCTAATCCAGAGAGCAGAACTGTTTTCTTCCTGTTTTCCTGAAACTTTCTTTGGGTAGAAATATCTTAGCAGCCATGTTTCCAAGGTAAAACAATTCAGATATGAAGCTGAATGTATAGTCCAGTTAGCTGTTGCAAGAATTTATCAACAGAACCTGTGATCTTACGAAGGATGGCAGGTACTTACCATTTTCTTAATTACAGTGATTTCTAGCAACTGAAGATTGTGTAAACAAAGTAAAAGTGCCTTAAGTATTACTCATTTGTATACATTAAGAATTTAAAATTAAATATCTCCATTTCAATATGTTATTTTTGTAGAAATGAGATTATTTTGTTAATATAGTACCAGGGTTATATATGAAGAATACATTATTTCATACAAAGTCGTCCAGTGCCTTTAAACTGGCTAAATATATTTTATGTCCTTCTTTGAAATTTTATTACTCTGCCTTTTATCCTTTACTTCTTTATTTTTTATTTCTCCAGTTAGACAGAACTGAGTGTAGGACCATTTTCTTTGTGATACATGTCACTGATTAGCAATGGGAAGGAATATCTGACACTGGGGAGGGAAAAGCCTCCCTCATTCCCTAGGCTGCTGGTAGTCAGCAGCTTGGTCAGCTGCCTGGGGGAGATGGGCGCGCTCTGCCACCAGAGGGCTATGTTCTGGGAAGGATCAGCTAGAACTGACTCACTTATATTAACTTTGGTCATTTCTTAGTGGCTTTTTAATTCAAATGGTCCTCTGTGTATCGTTTTGTAGTCTGCACATAGTCCAGGGAGTTTTTAAATGGCGATTTTAGCCTTGGCCAGTTTTGCTCAGCGGTTAGAGCATCAGCCCATGGACCAGAGAGTCCTGGGTTCGGTTCCCGCTAAGGGCACGTACCTCGGTTGCTATTTGTCCCCGACCCCGGTTGGGATCATGTGGGTGGCAACCAGTCAATGTGTTTCTCTCACACTGATGTTTCTCTCTCTTCCCTCGTCTTCCTCCCACTCTATCTGAAGATAAATGCAAAAATGTCCTTGGGTGAGGATTAAAAAATAAAAAATAAATGGTGATTTTAATTCTTTTGAAGCCTTGTTTTTCTTAGATCTTAGAAGTAATTCAGTTATTTCATATAGATGAACAGTTAGCACAATGTATGGAAAATAAGCAATTCCTATGCAGGTGTAAGGGAAGGCTTCATTGAATTCCTTTACATCAATGTTTAAGACATGTTCAGTCCCATAAAAAATGGTGTGCAGCCTTGAAGTTGGAGCATTTTACCATGAGAAAAATAAAAATGGTACTGAGTGATGGGTTTTTCTCACAAGTTTTTCAGT